CCGCTCCGCCCCCACTCCTGGACCCCATTTCTGCAGCTAGAAAGTGCCAGCCCACCCAATAAGCCCCCATTCCTAGGTACCATTTTTGCAGCTGGGAAGTGCCAGCCAGTCACAGAAGCCCCTATTCCTAGCTACCATTTCTATAGCTAAGAAGTGCCAGCCAGTCAGAGAAGCCCCCATTCCTAGACACCATTTCTGCAGCTAAGAAGTGCCAGCCAGTCAGATAAGCCCCCATTCCTAGCTACCATTTCTGAGTTAGGAAGTGCCAGCCAGCCAGGTACGCCCCCATTCCTGGACACCATTTCTGCAGCTAGAAAGTGCCAGCCCACCCAATAAGCCCCCATTCCTAGGTACCATTTTTGCAGCTGGGAAGTGCCAGCCAGTCACAGAAGCCCCTATTCCTAGGTGCCATTTCTATAGCTAGGAAGTGCCAGCCAATCAGAGAAGCCCCCATTCCTAGCTACCATTTCTGCAGCTAGGAAGTGCCAGCCAGGTACACCCCCATTCCTAGCTACCATTTCTATAGCAAGGAAGTGCCACCCAGTCAGATACGCGCCCATTCCTAGACACCATTTCTGCAGCTAAGAAGTGCCAGCCAGTCAGGTATGCCCCCATTCCTAGGTACCATTTCTATCTAGGAAATAAATGCCATCCATCCATCCAGTTACACTGGGGGGTCACATAACCCCAGGGTACTGAAACTGTATAACCAGTTTCCAAGCATCTGAATTTTGATCCCATGACCTTAGGGATGCTGCAATGATTGTAAATATAAAAAACAGTCAAGTCACTTTTTCAGCATTGTTGTAACTTTGAACAGTCACTAAATGAACTGTTGTAAGTTGGATTTGGATTTGGATTTATTCGACTTGTAGGCCGCCCTATTCCCAAAGGGACTCAGGGCGGCTGAACAAAAACCAAGGGGAGGGGAACAAATACAAAAAGTAAGACAAAAACAAAACAACAATACAAACAGTTTAAAAATCACAACAACAAGCACAACCAATTCGAGTAGGGGTGGAACTCAACAGCCCCAGGCCTGCTGGGACAGCCAGGTCTTAACGGCTTTACGGAAGGCCTGAAGGGTTGATTCTGAATAGTGTTGGGGGGGGGTGCGTGCCTTTACCCTTGTTTATGAGAGTACCCATTTTTAGCAGTGGAAAAACTGATTTGGGAATATGCTAAAACTAAGCACCCCAAAGAAATTTTCTTCTTTCTCTGTTCATAATTCCTTCTACAGATTCCGCACGTAACACTAACTGTTTGCAAGCCATTTTCATAACTCCCATATGTCATGTGACTGTGAGTCTGTAAATCATATGTACAGAGTGGGCCATGTAGATACAATAAGTGTTGTTATTGGTGGGCGTGAGAGCAGATAGGTTTTCTCAGCTCCCAAATCTAAACTGACAGTGATTAATATTAGTGCAAATTCTTACAATAAAAATGTAGTAATGAAAGAAGCGACTCAGGATTGCCGTATGTTAACTAACACCTGTAGAACATAACATTGATCTATGTTATGCATCAAATATATCATGAACAAATGTAAAAACAGTAACCTAGAGTTTAAAATTGCCGTAGTCTGCTTCCTTGATACATGGACCTTTTTTAAAAAAAAATTAAGATTTATTGAGCTTAACTTTAGCCTGTTTACCTTTCTAGAATAGAATAGAATAGAATAGAATAGACTTATTTATTGGCCAAGTGTGATTGGCCACACAAGGAATTTGTCTTTGGTGCAGATACTCTCAATGTACATAAAAAGACAAGATACATTTGTCAAGAGTCATAAGGTACAACACTTAATGATAGTCACAGGGTACAAACAAGCAATCAGGAAACAAGCAAAATCAGTATAAATGGTAAGGATACAAGCAACAAAGTTATAGTCCTGCAGTCATAAGTGGGAGGATATGGGTGATAGGAATGATGAGAAGACTAATAGTAATAATAACGCAGCCTTAGTGAATGATTTCACAGTGGTGAGGGAATTATTTGTTTAGCAGAGTGATGGCGCGCGGGGAAAAACTTTGTTGCTTGTA